AAGCGCGAGGGCTGTACTGGGAGAATATCGGCCCGAGGTCTTGACAGTACAGACCCAGCGCAGCGAGGCCTGTACAAAAAAGACCTTGGGCCGACATTCTTCCAGTACGGTCCCGAGCAAGCTTGGTTAATAAGAGATTTATTATACGACTGAAGTTCAAAGGGACACAAGTGCGGTATCATTCGGGACAACTCAGGACAGTGCCCGGTCCAATACTGAGAGAATATTAACTGGCAATAGAGCATTTTGATTGGTTGATTTTAGTTATTGGCCCTCTGACTGCCTGAGTTGTGTAATAAAAATAATAAATGTTATTGTTATTGTTAAATGTTATAATAAATACATGTAAAAATTAAATCTGATTTAATAGACTGTTTCTTATTAACCCTTAAACTCCTATTGGTGACCAAGAAAAATTTTCTCCTCACAATATCAATACAATAACAAGCACAAAAGTGATGAAAATAAAGAAAAATATCAAATGGAGGATTATACCACATTCTCAAAAGTATCATCATGAGAATTTACATGGAAGACAGTTAGGAGAATTACAAATGAGATCTTGAGAGTGAAAGGGTTACGGGATAGTCTACATTGCTCTCAAAAAACAAAAATATAAACAAATATCCTTCATATAAATAGAAATAAGTAGTAATCATGATGATAAAACAGAGTTATTCCTTTCGCTAACATTAATGCAATCCAAGAACAATCACACATCCTGAAATTTCTCTTCAAACATTAGGATCTTTTATTTTGATTGATTCATTGAAAAAAAAGTGATAGTTTTATAATATTTATAAAAGTTTACATTAACTTCCCAAATTGTGATGGTTTACATGGGGAAATTTTCCGAGGTTTGTTTGGATGTAACTTACACTTCTCTTTGGTTCTGCTCAAACAGAATCTTCATTTCCTCCAGGACTTGCCTAATCAAATCCTCCTTTGATACAAAGATAAAATCAAATTAATCATTTCAATTTCATTAAAACGGAAATAATTTGGAATCAAAGGGTTACTTTTAAAAACTCTCTTTAGAAATAAAATCTGTCAGTGTTAATGGTAATGAAGTGCATAGTGAGAAAAAAATAGACCCAGATATTGGCAGTGTAGGGATCGGTACGCTTTCAGTAGGATTCTCTTGGCCAGTCGACGTCATTCAAAATGATTGTAAAGATTTCCATGTAACCCCATACATAAATTATGCATTCCATTTCATAAAGACTAAATATAAAGGTTTCTTTGCAACAGTCTATTGGCATAATTAATGTATGGGATTATCTATGGAAATCTTGCCAAATGATCTGCAAGATGATATGAATTTTTCCCAAATTTAATAAGGGAGATGGTAAATTGTGAGCTCGGTAAAGAAATGGAGAACGATGTTTACCTTTGTCTTATTTCGAGCGTGGGACACGCTCATGACAAGACGAAAGAAGTGCCATGCTCTGTTTACTGTACTTGTTTGAGAGGATCTTGTGATATTTCACTGCTTTATGTCGACTTGTCTAGATTATTCGAATCAATCACGCGAACTTCCCAGAAAAAAAGGTAATGCCTAGCTTTAAAGTCTCCAATAATGGGTAAGAAGTTCTGTGCGTATTTTTCCCGCCAATTTAGGAACGAACAGAAGTAAACAATATCTCACGTTGTAAGGTGGTACAGTCCCCTCCATGGTTCTTTTGAGTTCCTTTACAAGCTCCAGAGCTTTATCTCCAAACATCTTGCCAAAGATCTCTCCAAAATTTACAAAATTACACAAAATCAACCTTTGTAATCGAAAACCTTAACCCTTATCCGTGGGTCTGTCCTCCTTACTGTCTCTTTCGGTACCAGTTTCCTAACGGGCACTGGGTAATAAACCAATCATATACCTTTCCAACATCCTTTACTTAGCAATGGAGTGAAGTCAGAGGTCGGAGATTGTGTATGACTGAAGTCGTTACATGGTGAGTGTCTTCAGACTGTTTGCTAATGTTAAGCTCGTAACATCGTGGAATAAATCTTTTCTTTTCCAGTTTTGACGCGACTTTTGACTTGTTTAGGTCTGCGGAGACAACATTATGACCAAATCAGATGTGACCTAAGCCGTTTCTGTGCCGAGGTTGAACCATGGACACGTAAGTTAATTACAGCAAAGGTGAGCCAACTACAAGCTTTAATTTAAGCTTAACTGTATGCCTTTCGCGATTGTTAACGTATAGAAATTGAATAGTTGATGCAAGAGAATTTGAATTTGGGTTGAAATAGAGTCAATAGAGTTTCCAATGATGTAGGCAGTGGAGTCATCGGCGAACATTTCTATCTTTAAGTCAACAGACAAAGGTAGGTCATTTGTAAAGATGCTGAAAAGTCTTGGGCCCAATAAGGAGCCTTGGGGTATGCCAGAAGTTACTCTCATTTTCTCAGAATTTGTACCATTAATAGTCACAAACTGGTGGCGGTTATTCAAGTAATTAACAATCCAGTCAAGTGAGTCCCCACATAGACCAGAGGCTTGAAGTTTATCAGGTAAAATTTGATGAGACACACAGTCAAATGCCTTTTGGAAGTCGATAAAGATTACACCAACTGATTTTCCTTCATCTAAGGCAAGCCTCCATTTTTCTGTCATGCTAAGAAGCAGCAACTCAGAGGACCTACCCTTCCTGAAGCCCCATTGGGAGGTAGTAACTAGTTTATGTTGATTCAGAAAAGAGTCGAGTTGAAAGCACGCAATACTTTCCAATAACTTACTTGGTATATTTAGAAGTGAAATTGGACGATAATTTCCACAATCCTGAGTATTACCTTTTTTGTGGATGCAGTGGACTTGTGCTGTCTTCCATCAAATCTAAATAAACACTTTGAAGACTAGGGCATCTAAATAAACACTTTGAAGACTAGGGCAACTTGTTAACAATAGTCTGAAAAGTTGCTCTGATAAAGTATTTGAATAGATCTTCAGATATAGAGTTGCAAGTAAACGCACAAAATTGGGAAACAACAAAAAATGTCAATTATCCTGTCCTAGTGCTTAAAGTAGAAGCAGCTCAACCTGTGTGCTGCTGAAACACATGCAACATTCTTTAAACGAAGTTAGCCACAAGATTCCAACTTGGTGAATAGTTCACCTAAAAGAGTTTGATTCATTGTTCATCTGAGATTGCCTTTAGTTATGATATGAAACAAACACATCTCTGTCGTCAAATAAATATTTTAACAACAAACTAATGCCAGGCCATACCTTCACAAGGTAAAAAACAAGCATGATTAAAATACTTTTAGCTCCTCCTCACTTTTGCAGTCAACATTTCTAAGATCTTCAGTTTGTAATATGACAAACTTCTTTTCCACAAATATGCTTGCAAGGGCAATGGCCAAGTTTTCTCTAATGAAAGAAGTATGGTGATACTGCATTTGACTTTAAGTTGCTTTGCTGCAGGGACCATCTGCTCCTTTGCAATATTGGTAAATTGAATGGGATTGGACATTACACAAACTACATTTTTGTACTAAATTATCTACACCAGATTACATATAATGGAATTCTGATTGCAATGTTCTTCCTATGTTATGGTTATGGCTATTGTATTTATTTTTAACTCAGTGGATTTAGGGGGCAATTAAAGTAAAATAAAAAACAAATAAACCGGAATAGTTTTTAATAGAATAATTGAAAAATGTGTACACATCTAAATAAGACTGCAATTTGCATTGAAAGCTGAGAAATGTGACAATGTCAAATTTGTCATCATTCCTTCTGATCTCTGATAGGAAGTTATCAATTAAAGCCTAAAACTTGAACTACTTTTTTTATAAAGAAAGCAAAATTTATAGAAATTAAAACTGAAAAGAGCGTCAGCTGGCTTGATCATGGAACTTGCTGTAGTACAGTGTTTGGGTAGAAACTGCACTCAAGACATGTCTCAACCTTGTAACCTTTGATGTCTTGTGGCAGGCTTTGCTGCAATGGCACACTTTTGCTTTTTTCCCTAAGCATTAAACAAAAATATTGGGCCTTTCTTGAATGCAGTGCTGTGCAGGCTCTTGAGACCTTTACTTTCTTACTTTCTTTACCTTTACGAGAAACTGTGGATCAGTTGCTTAGGGAGATCAAGCCTGAACTTGATCAAGGGTTGTTTTCACTGGCTGTGAGAAACAGGATTTAAAATATTCCAAAACTAAAGCATAACAAGCCCTAGAAAAGTTAAATAACAACTGTATTGCTACCATCACTTGCTTGAAGAACCACTTGTAGAATAATAATAATAATAGTAATAATAATGATAATAGTAATAATAATGATAATAAAATGAAGTTGATTGGCTCTGTCTGCACCCTCCAAGTGCTAGGTGTAAAGATTGCAATGTGAGGTTTCTCCATGCTGATGTGTTGGCCATCCCTTGTTCTTGAATGGCAGGCTGACTGGGCGGAACATTGGTTGATATGAAAGATTTTTCTCTCTTATTGTGCCATCAGTTGAACACCACTTTGCCTTATTGAGCACTGACTTTTCCATCTTGGCAAATCTTTTTCTTTGCACAGGCTGGTAGATCTCTCTGGTTGTAACTAACAGTTTCAGATGCATAATTATGTGTTTTCTGGGTGGTGTGAAGAGGTATGAGTCTCATCTATGCTGAACAGGACACACAATTCCTGGAACAAATGGGCTTCAAAATTTTGTCCTTTGTCTGAGTGGATCTTTTCTGGAGCCCCATACCAGTTCTCAGGGACTGTCTGTGCCTCTTGGTTTTGGTTAAAAAATGCCTCTTTCTTTCAAGTAGTTATTAGGGTGAACTTGTGGCCAGATTCAGTGATAGGTGTTGGTCCCATGGTGTCCAGTGCTACCCGCTTGAATGAATAACCAGGGTAGCACCAATTGTCAACATCATGTGTCAGGCCATACCAAAAAAACCTTACTTGCACTTATTCAATAGTTTTGGACACACCAAGATGTTCAGCTGATGGGGCATTGTGCAGGGGCTTATGGGATGTCTGGTGCCAGTGACTGGGGAAGCACAAGTTGAATGCTGGTACTAAAACCATTTTCGGTTTCTGGGCAAGCAAGTGTTCCAACAAAGTGTTGCTAGTAAAAAGATTATCAAAATTAATTGTGCCTAATCAGGGTAAGAGGAAACTTTTCTTATTCACTTTTCCTTCAGACAAGCACTGTATCAAATTTGTTTGTCAGAAACCTAAGAGTTCTAGTCCAAAAAGTGTTTTCAAAACTTCAAACTCAAAAGCAATTGGACATTTAATGTTATCGATCACAGTTATTAGCCTTTTAAAAGTAAACTGTTTTTTAGTTAAGCCTAAATAATTTGTTATATCATGCACAATGTTAAAAAGAAATTGCTCTTCATTAGTAGTTATGACTGTTTATTCCATGATGTTATCACTATTATTAACAAAGCGTAGCATTGGGGGAAGAATGCTGTCATCCTCCTGTTCTTGTTCCACTTCTCCTTTTGCTGTAGTGTCGTTCTGACTGAACAGCAGAGGGTGAGGTTGCACTGGCTTCAGACAAAATGTGACCCTTTGTTTGAGCAAGACGATAAGAGCCTCTGATCAGTTGCAGAATCTGGGTCAAAATCTTTCAGCTCTAGACCTGTGTCTTTGTACAAACACCAATTCTTCCTTAGTAGAAATGCCCTTGTCCCACGGGCAAGTTATATCAAAGGTTTACATGTCTGAACTAAATTTCAACCTGTCCCAGACAATCAGGGATAGGTTTTGCCGCACTCTGCCTATTGAAGAAAACCACAGCTTCATTGAACAGACTTGTTTTGTACATGATTTGAATATTATCCAGAAGGGTGGAAGGATTGGGCAAATCTTGAATATTTGAATTTCTTTAAAGTGTTATGGCTGAGCACTTAGTTGCTAAGGATCAAGGTATGCTTTATTATTTCATAACGTGGAGAAAATCAAAAGCAAATTACGTTGAAAGGAAGACTGCAGTATCACTTTCCTTTTCCTTTGGCAGTCACCGTTTAGTGTTGAACCCATGCTCCTGCTCAGTGTTTGACTCAGTAACTGACCCAGGATCTAGCTTTTCCTTTGGTCCATCGTATCAATTCCATCTCTGGTTATCCCTCTCTGCTTAAGCAACTCTTAATGGCATTTATTTAATTAAAAAACTAAGACTAAGATGTAAGCATATGCCCACTTTTCATGTCACAGTAGCGTTGATGATAATAATGTTAACCCCCCGGGGACTGGGGGGAGGGGTATTTTACCCGCAATTTTAAACACGACACCAGTTTTTCCACTGTAATTTTTTTAAATATAATTAAACCCCATGAACCCATGCATTTTTAAAAAGAAGAGATCCTGCACTTTCTTCTAGTGCAAAAATTTACTTAATATTTCTTAAAGAAAAAATCTGAAAAATCCAGAAAGGCAAATGAAACAGTTTTTTTTTTTAAACTGGTTGAGTTTTGGACAATAACATTTTTTTTTGGAACATGATTCTTTCTTAATATCAACTGCTATATCTGCAAAAGCATGTCTTAAGCACTGAACAAAACCAAATAATGCAAATCTCTTGAGTAGATGTGGATGGTAAACTTAAATTTCATAAAAAAAAGTTTTAAAGCCAGTTCACAGTTCAGTTCAGTTTACCATTATACTGACTTTAGAAACATAACTTTGCTGTACTTGCATCAAGGTCTGCAAGGAGCCATAATTTATCTTGACCTCCTCTGTGGAGGTCTGCCTGGTCCAGCCCTTGGTCTACCAGTCACATCTTTGAGCCTTTTAGCAGAATTATTTCTTTTGGGATCGTCAAATAGATATTCTTGCAAAGTGTGGTATCTTTCGAAGCAAGGTGCTGGACACATACGCACTTGGCAAACTGCACACTCATAGACTGTTTCCACCCG